AAAGAATAAGAGAGAGAGAAAGCTACTAGCCTATTAGGAGCACTGACACTGCAAAATTTATTTCTTAATGAATGTACAAGGAACAGCATAAATATTACCATTAAGCAGAGTGGATGTGAACATCCAAAGCAAGCCAGCTAGCTGATTGCTTTCTTATTTTTTGTTCTTTTGTAACAATTTCATTTCCAAGTGCTTGATTCTTAACACTGATGCTCCATAGCTATTGTGAGCACACTGCCTGAATACTTAATGAAGTAAACAACAAACAAAATGGCTCATCTTTGGTGCCCCCAGCTAGCATTCCAAACTGGATATAATTAAAGGTGTGAACAAGAAAGCAAGGAAGTAATGAACCTGCAAAGTCAAGGTTCTGAGAAATTATCGGGCACCCCACACTGCACCAGTTCAGATTTGTCACTCATTGTCTCTTACACCAGCAAGGTGAAGATCCACATGTTGGTGCCCCTCTCCACTTCTGTCCTCCAGTCTTTCTTATTTTCTTTTCATTTCTACATGGCTAATTTATGACAATCACTGCTTGTGACAATTCCCACACACCCACAAATTACCTTTCCTTTTACCCTTAGAAAGCCACTGACCTATAAAAGCCCTCTACCCTTTAGATATGCAGAGATTTTAAAATACAAGGATGTTCCTAAAACACACACACACACACACACTCGCGCGCAAACTCACAAAACACATCCTGAGATGCTAACTCAGCCACCTTACACGCTCCTGGTTTTTACCAACAGTTAAAGATTATGTTCAAATTAGACTCCCCAAAGAAAAAGCACTCTCCTCCCATATACACATACATTTTAATTTGAGCCCAGCTCCTTGACTAGAAAGACAGCTTCTAGCTCACATGTACTGTTATGGATCTGCACATTACAGCTAAAGAAAGGTGTTTGGTTACTAATGGAACCTGCAGGGTTTGGATGTATCTTTTTAAATGAAGTTTTTAATTTTTCTAATAAGAGAACTCCAATTTCATGGGAAACAAGCCCAGTTTGGTTTTCTTTCCATTTTTAGATGTACTTGCAAGTATGTATACACATTTGGCAAATACCAAATAAGGAAAACCCAAGACAGGTGCGGGATTCTAGAAACACACCTGATTACATTGATACACACATAGTCTCCTTCTATAACATACACACTTTCCACATACCTATCATACGAATGAGAGGGTGGAGAGTAGGTAATAAAAGATTGACTTTACTTTCAAAAGGGGAATCAGTCAGTTCTGCACAATAAGGCCCATCAACTGGAAAACAGTAAGATAAAAGCTTAAGAATGCTTATGTCCCTTCATACCCCCAAACTTCCCAATGACATTGGGAAAAAAATACTGCATTGCAGCATTTGCCAGCGCACACTCATGTGTCTAGCATCTGCTAGCCAGCTCACCAACAAATATACATATTAAGTGTCCAGGCATATAAATTAATTGTCTTGGCCACAGATCATTGGAACTGATGAAGAAATTTATCAAGGCCAAACTACTTCTGTCCATATACAATGACCTCTATCAAGATCGCCATTCCCTATCTGCGGTACACACAGATAATTTATTTTGTTGTTCGTTTTTTAAATTAAAATAAGGCATTAAGATGCCAAGGGCTAATTGAAGCAGCATTATCTCCCCATGGAAGGAACAGAATTTGGTCTTCATGTTGGAAGAGAATCCTCCACGGTAAGGAAAGGAGTGCAAAAGGAAGAATCCAAACCAAAGAAAAGGTAGAGCTTTGAAGAAACCCTTTCATTGTTCATGCTAACTCTGACTTGAGAAAAACACCTTGATTCGCCCACAAATTCTTGTAGAGATACGGAACACACACACACACACACACACACACACACACACACACACACAAGGCACCATTCATACAATGATTTCTAGATCTGAAACTTCAAGCAGGTTATCCCCAACAGAAATGCTAAGTTGGAAATATCTGAAGTCTAACATGTCCCAAACCTTATTTCAAAGCTCGGTTTAGAACTAAAATCCAAACGCGTAGCTCATTTTCTCTTTCCTTTAAAAAAATATTCTATTGTATTGTTATTACCTCACAACAATCTGGCCTTCCTCTCAACAAAATTCTTCAATAGTCACAGGACCAAGGGAAGACTACAGGAAGAGAAAAAAGTTTGAAATACTATCAAAGATAAACAAGCCCATCTATATCTGGCCAGGAGGATAACTTGAATGAATGGCAGTTAGGAATGAATGGGACTGAGATCACATATGAATGTTTAAGTTGCTTTATTTTTAAAATGAGATATTAAAATGACCTTGTAAATCAGTGATCCTTAGTGCAATTTTTAAATGCTATTTCCTCACCTACATTTTACCCTTTCAAAAATTTAAATATTAAATACTTTAACCATATGCATTATATAAACATTCTGATCATTAAAACTGCGATGTAGTCAGGTATTTTTGGTAGAAATATTTCTAATCATACTTTCATTTCTTAATAAACGCACACTCAGCCTTGTGCTTCCATAAAGGTACACCTCCACATGCAGGAAGTAGGCACTAATATTTTTAAGACAAAGAAGCAAGAAAGGTCAGCAATAGAACCACGTGTCCTTTTTACAACCCAAGACAAAGTGACAGTTCTTACGGAAATGATTTCCCCTAACTCAAAAATGCCAGAAAAGTCTCAGGACAAAAAACTGTATTAGAGACAATCAAAAAACGATTCTATTTTTAATAACAACTCAAGATATGAAAGCAAGGCACAAGTGTATGGCAAAAACAAGTTTGTTTATTTTTACTTCAAGAGTCAAACAAATCTTTAAAATCCCTCAATAAGAAGACAAAACAAAAAGAATCATCTGTAAGAGAAAAATATTTGGGATGTGTGTGGAGATTTGTAATGGAGAGAGTAAAAATTAAAAGAGTATATTCAATAGAGTCAATTATATTTCCTGACCTTTTAATGTACTTCAGTATTTTTTAATAATTCAATTTTGAGCTTAAAATGAGCTACCTGATCATGTATCTAATTTATCTTTCAGGAAGAAGCCAGAACAGACAATCGTTTCAGTTTTTATGCTAACCTCCTATTCACCTAAGTACTGTACCTGTCAGCCTTTCTTTTACCCACCATCATAAGAAAAAGAGACTACTACTAAAGCACACTTAGAAAAAAAGCGAGAGATGCCTGTCACCCACTGCACGCGGGGGTCCCAGACATTCAGAGATACTAAAAAAAACCCCCAGCTTTTCACTCCGTTTATGCCGAGACTAGAACCGGACTAAATGCCAAATGGAAGGCAGTGGTTGCAAGGGTGCAGCCTGATGCATCCTGTGGCTGGAGGCGTGGAGAGGGAAGCAAAGCAGAAGGACAGAATACAGCTTTTCATTAATTATTTGTAAAAGTAATTTCTACACGGGATTTAAAATGAGACAGACAATAAACTCCCTGGAACTGTAGTACCAACATCTGATTTAGTAAAAATACTAATATCACTTAGCACAATATCATTGCTTAGGGTAAATCTATTCTACCTATATTTCTTCTATGGATATTTGTTGGAAATTTCTAAGAAATCATTTGCAGAACCTATCAGCTGTGGGAGTTCACTATTATGCTTCTGACAACTTCATTCAATATAATTCACATTTTTTTCAAATGGCCTCACAGGATTCCTTGCGATTTTTCACACGTACAATTTCACAGCAGGGAAAAGGGGGAAAGAAAAAAAGAGAGAAAAAAGCAAGAATCCCTTCCCTCCCTTCCCCCTCTCCTTCTCTGTTTTTTAAACCAAAAAAAAAAAAAAAAAAAGAAAAAAAAAAAAAACCAGGGGAGACAGAACAGATGCTTATAAATAGATTTCTAAAAATCACTGTAAACCAGAGTTAGAAATGTAATTAACACCTATTTATAAAGAATAATTAAAGTTGGGCTGGCCACAAAGAACAGCAAAGATAATCGAGGTCCTGTCCCCCACACCCCCCCATTTTTTTTTACACTGTTTGCAGTGTGTTCTCATGATAGCCACCTGCTCCCTACTCGGCTTTTCCTCTGTTCGTTTCCCCGGCAACCTTTCATTGGGTTTTCCTCCCAGCTATCGCTTTCAGTTGGGCTGCTCGGTCTAATCTTATTTGTTTTACACCCATCAAAACAAGCAGCCAGACAAAGGCAATCCTCTAAGAATGGGAAAAAGACCACAGCTTTGTTATAACATCTATACAGAACGAAAAGTCCTCCCCAGGCTTTACTAGCAAAAAATAAGTGAGATAGATATGAATTTACACCCACCCCCCAATACCCTTCCAGCTTTGAAACCCAGTGAAAGCTATTGCTGGTGAAATTCAAAGTCAAAGTGGGCACTCGTGGCATCCGATCGTGCCATTTTGTGCCATATCTTCAGGGTCAACATCAGGCGACAGGCGCGGCACTCAAGGAGTTTCCCTGCTTCTTCCTCTCCCCTTTTTTCCCCCAGGAAAAGATGATGCTAAAAATAGATTTACTACTTTGGCAGAAAGGTTTTCTACTTTCCCTGCCACATCCAAAAGTCCTGTTTCACAATTCCATCTGCCGGTACTGAACCTCACCTCCTCCACCCCTCATTCCCAGCCTTCCTCATCACTCCTAGCAGGAGACTGAAAAAGAAATGTGCCTTTAACTTTAACAGTCATGTAATTGCACTGAAAGCTCACAGAGGCGGTGGACACACCAGCCAGCAGCAACGGTGACATTGTGATTGTCAAAAAAGACACCAACCTTGCTTGGCTAAAATGTGTGTTCGGTGGGAGAGCAGTGTGTGTGCCTTGCATGCGTGCAGTGCCATTACACTTGGAGATGGATTCTGGTTTTCAGAAAAGAGAAATACTAATATACACACACACACAAACGATCTGCACAGTGATTTATGATGCACAGTCCACCATCCTTACACACACACACACACACACACACACACAGACACACACACACACACACACGGTTGGAATCTCCAAGCTGCCTTCCTCTTTACACTTACCATCTTCAAGCCATTCCACTCCATCTGTGATCAGAAGAAGATGGACCCTCACACAGTGTGTCAAAAGCGGAAAGGAACGTTATGTAAAAGCTGACATTCCTTCTTACAGAGCTGCTGCCCAGAGAAGGAAGCAACAACTCAACACGCCAGGCACCGCTACACATACAAGCCGCCTCCTCTTTTTTATGAGGTCATGACAGGAAACTCTTTGAAATACAAGATGCAGCATTTACTGAAGCCCAAATAAATCACTGTCTTTGCCGTTTTGACTGCGCAGTCCCCCGAAACACAGCTGCCCATCTCAACGTTCAGTATCCAGGAGCTGCCTCTCGAGCTTTAAATTTCCAGCATGGAAATGGAGAGATTCCTAACCCCGCTGCATCCACTTCCAGCCCCACAAAACCCAGGCACGTAGACAAACCCCTCTCCCTGACAAAAAGAAAATCTTTTGCCACTATGGTCTCATGTAATATAACCCCTTTCAACAAACCAGCAATTATTTCAGCCCACCTCTCCCCCACCCCCACCTCCGCTTTTATGTTGAAGGGAAAATTGACAATGACCTGTTAAAAATGACAATCTATTTCCCCACTGCTTTTCAATAAAAGGACCTACCCGCACTCTCTACACAAAAGAGATAGTAAATGTAGGAACCGAACAGCAGCAGAGAACTAAACTCTTTGCAAGCGTAAGACTGCTTAAGGTGTAGATGCTTTCCTTCCCTCCAGCAACACAAACAACAGATTACAAATCTAGTCATACCTACCATAACCATTCTTATTGGCAAGTATTGGGTCTTGCAGAGCTTCGACTCTTCTCTTAAAATTTGCAAAGGTTTCAGAATATATTTTTTAAATGACTACTATTGTTATATATTTTTAAAGATCCACAAAGCACAGTGTGGATGATTGTAAAGTAAATCAATTACTTTTGGGGGGGGGATGGGAGGAAGGAAAGGAAAAAAAAAAAAGAAAGAAAAGAAGCAGTGAGCTGAAACCCCGATTCTAGGATGTAGATAAGAACAACTGAACAGAGCCTTGCTGAAATTGGCTCGAAGCTTCCCCTTTTTACATCCATTTATGGGACCATCTGTCAGCTGAAGCCAGGATCTGATTGGCTGGGGAAACGAAGGGAGGCGTTGCAACATCAGGTGCTATTTAAATTAGCTACTGCCAGATTGACGATGTTAATGATTTGGTGACCTCTACAACAACAGAGACCAGATTTCTGAACTGCTTCTTGTGTCTGGTAATTAAGGCCGGGCTGAAGCAACAACAGCCATTCTTGTATTTTTACCTTTTCCCTCCTCCCAGCTCAAAAGTACTGTAACAACTTGAGGTCACTAGTGGCTTGCAAACCTTAACTGTGGGAGTATCCTCCCTCTCCTCTGTCCTGAGGTCTGCTCCACCCCACCCTTCTTTCAGAGGGTTTTTCCCATATAGAATATTTGCAACCCCTTATCTTTCTGGACAGTTGCTTTCTAGCTAGATGAATATTTAACGATCTGCCTCTAGGCTTAAATATACAACAGAAGCACTTGAATGTGCTAATGCAACTACGTTTTAACTTTACTATTTCCTAATATAGCTGAATTGTAGTAAGTAATGCCACCTCTGCAGCTAACATGGCCAGCGTTTCAAAAGAATGCAAGGTTGAGATTGTACTTGCTGCATGAACTAGGTTCATACAAGTTTGCTTCAGAAAACTATCTCCTCATACAGAAAAAAAGCTGGGGGGGGAAAGGGGCAGCTGTCAGCCTCTACCTTTCTGCCTTCTGTCTGAGCTTTACAAAATAGAGAATGATGAATGATTTATTTAAATAAATTTATTTCTCGAATTGGATAGGGGCATTATCTGAATTTTTTACAATCTTCTAAAACACATTCCCTCTTTCCTTTCCCTGCTGCTACAGAGAAAGGTAAAACATGCTTTTGACAACAACCTCGTTTCATAACTGATGCAGAGAGCTCATCTTGCCTAACTGAACACGTGATTTTGCTTCTCTCTTTCAAAGGATGTCTTTTTCTTTGGCCTCTTAAAAGACTTGCAGAGACATTTAGCAAATGTGTGGTGATGGGTACAGTTTTTCTGCCTGTGTTATACATTTCATAACCTCTACACCATCAAGCCTCCAGGAGTGTGGGTATTTGTTTCAGTTTTGATTTTAAAGTGGCTTACCTGAGGAGTTGGTGCGTTACGTCTATCTAAAAGACTAACGTCATTATTTATTTATAATTTACTCAATTTGTTCCTCAATAAATACACAGGGGTGACCAATACTTCTAAAGACATAATTCAACATAAGTTTTAATTAACCTTTGGCTGGAGTTGACAGCGAGATGAGACTGGGCATAGTAGAAATATAGGCCAAAACTCATGCTACCTTCTGGGCTTCAAAGTCCAAGAATAAATGGGTCCATGAGAAATTATTAGAAAAGAAAATAACTTTTACATTTTTAAAATTTACAACTATTCTCTCCAAGCTATTTCATGAACACACACATAAATACACATGTACACGCTTTTAAAAATACAGATACACCACAAAACAGTATGTGCTGTGTATACTATATGAACTATTAGACTTGAATATAAATAAATCCAGATAAATGAAAATACATAAAATAGAAAAGTAAAAATTGTAAAAACTATAAACCATGCAAATGGAACAATGCTGAATTAAGTAAACTTTTAAAATAATTTCTTTAGCAAGTCTGTAAGGAGACCTACCAGTCACAACAGTAATACAGAATCTGTTGCACTGTGTGCTAAGGATGCATGCACAGGTTACGTGGTCTGAAGAGCTCAGCATACGTAGATACCCCAAACCAACAGAAACTGTTAAGCGACATCTCACCAATATCACAATATTGTGAAAAGGAAACAGGAACACTGCCTGACAAATACAAATAAAAACAGCTCACTCTGGAACAAAATATTTACTTTGTATTTCCCTGGAGGTTGTAAGTCAGAATTTCTTAAAACCCTTTTCTCTCACCCATACTGATCTGAGCACATTTGGTGAGCCATTAATTAACACTAGGTATCTCAGAAGATATTCTGCCCACCTGTCCAAAATAGTAACTGTGTATTACAGTATAAATAATTAGCTAGGTTTGCTAGGCTAAAAAATCCATGCACTTTGTATATTGATCACTTCTTCAAAAACCTCCTCTCTCAAGTCTTTCAGCAGAATCCTCAAACAAATGCACAAATGTCCTTAGAGGCCTTTTCTCTAAAGACAAAGGCAGAATCCTATTGTTGGGAAAAGTCAACCTTATTATTGCATTTCCAATAGTACCATTCATCTTTCAGAGTGAGGGGCTGACCGTTACATCAGTGGTGTGACATTTGTAAAGCAACAGATTCTCAATATATTATCTCAAGAATCAGGCAGGCGAGTCTCCCAGTCATGCATGATTTTTTTTCCACCATAATCGTCCACCACCACAGGAAGAAACTTGTCTCACTCAGGCAGCTAAGGCAACCTAAAAATGATATCCCAGAGCTGTGGGTCTGCCAGCACCGCTGTATCCCTCTTACCATAAATGAGCAGTGTCTTGAGTCATTAATAACAATTTCCCTTAAAAGAAGTAATCTCATATCAGTCAGCCCCTTGCCACCATGCACACATCCCAAAGGTTGCAGATATCTCAGCATCAGTCACCGGCAGCCAGCTTTCCCACACAGAGTCCAGATGGACTGTACCAGAAGCCAATTCAGCGTTAATAACTACCTACTCCGTGCAGTGGAGAAGCCTTACGTGGCACAATGGGCTAGGAAACAGCAGCCGGCTGAAAACTGCAAATACAAAAAGACAACCAAATTCTCCAAAAGCTCCGAAAGGAAAGAACAGAAATGGAAGCAGGAATTATATTCCTTGACTTCCATGAGAAAAAAAAAGAAGTAAAGTAAAAAAAAAAAAAGAAGCCTTCATAAACATAGGAAAAAAAAATTAAGGGGGGGGGGAGGAAAACAGATGCTGCCCAGAAAAAAGTGACAAAATATTACCTCATTATTTAACAAAGCAGCATTAAGCGTCCTGCTGATTTCAAACATCTTGCCACAGATTTTGTTTTAAGAGAAACAGAGAGAATCCTTTGCAAAGCACTCCGTCTGCAAAGGGTTCTTCAATTTTCTTGCGTACCACGGAACAGTCAATATATTATTTCCCTAGAGTTCACACATTAAAACCTCTAGTCAGTGAGCTGGATTTTCCCCTTATCTCACACACAGTAGACTCCTATTACATGTGCTGTTCTCTTTGCAAGATCAGCCTGCCCCAAACATGGCTGGTGTTTAAACTACTCTTTAAAGTAACAGTTCACTATATAACCACCAGGTGGGTAGAGTGCACAGATTCAAATGAGCCATCTTCAAAGACTGCTTGCTTTTTTTTTTTTTTTTTTTTTTTTTTTTCCTCTTGGAATAGCTTTTGGGTGTAGAACGTGACATGAGAAATGCCAGCATCTTAACAGGCATCTTGTCTTGTATCTTCTCTCTGTATCTTGTCAAAGTAAATAAATGACATTCTTTCTCCTGACTTATTGCAAGGAAACAAAACAAAACACTATCACCAATTCTAATAGGAACTGTGAAGGATGAAACACAAACAAGCTTTGTTTCATTCAGCAAAGGATGAGCAAGGAAAAAGCAATCAACACAGAGCAAGGGGAAGACCAAACCCTCCATGGGAATATTTTCCTTTAGCAAAAAGAGAAAAATATTGACTCGTGATAAAAACCCAATTCAGGAGTAAGCATATGGACGAAGCACATACAAGATGGAAGCAAGAGTTTAAGGGGGCAACTTTTCTTCTAGTAAAATATGAGGCTTATTTCATAGGGTCTTTTGTCATAGGAAATAAGCAAAAGCTTCAAAGTAAAGACACTGAAAATAAAAACAAAACAAAATCTTAAGTATCTCTTTTAAAAACACAATGATACAAATAGCTATAAATAACCAGAAGAACAAACTAATCACACCTCTCTCTCCAGCACTGTTCTTTTTCCCTAAGATCTGCCTCAAATGGGACATTTATGTCCTATACTATTCTGGATGCATAACTAACTTTGTGTCTCCTTTGCACAATTCTATTCCAATTAATCTGCTCCTCTGCCAGGAAGATAAAGAATGTTCTAAGTTGAAAGCCGGAAGCGATGGGGGTGGGGTGGGGTGGGAGGGGAATGTTAAAAGGAGAAAAAACCACCTGGACAAAAATAAATCTCATCACTTATATTGTTACATGGTCTGGTTTTAAGGAGGATTTTATTACTTACAGAGCATGCATGCACTATTCCATGTTCCCTCAGTTCCCTCGTATCTATAAAAGAGAAACCAATACACAGAGATACCTG